GTTCTTTCGTTAGCTGCCTGAAAACAAACTCATAGTTGTCCCTCACGTATCTTTCAAAATATTGTCACATCTATTCTCCAGGACGCCGAATATGCCTTGGAGAGAGTCTGGGCAAGATGGAGATCTTCCTGTTTTTCACCTCGCTCCTGCTGAAGTTCAGATTCACTCCACCTCCTGGGCTGTCTGAATCTGATCTGGTCCTTACTCCAACTGATGGGTTGGTCTCCAACCCGCCTTCACATAAATTGTGTGCTGTAAGCCGGGCTTGAAGCTCTTGAATTCTGATGGTTTTATGGAGTAGGATATCATCCTCCACATGACTTGAATAATCACAGTAAATAAAATGTGAAAAAATTTATAGATTGTTTGTGTCATTGCATGTGTTATAAAACAAAAACATTACTGTACAAAGAACATTTCACTATATAAATCAATACATATTGTATTATATTAATGATGTCAGAGTATTCTGCTATTTGATTGTTTTACAGTTTTCCTCTATATGGTATGATCTGTGTTGGGTATTGATGGTCCTTGCAGGACAGTCGTCCTTTGGGTACAGGTGGGGGTAGACGTGTTCAGGTGTGTGCCAGTACTGCAGAGGATCCTGCATTCTAGAAATATTGACCTCGTCCAGATACCTCTGGATCTCAACTGTTGCATCTTCCTTGGTATTTGAATTATTCCTGCCCTTAACAACTATTGTGTCAAGCAAGTGCCACAGACCTTTGTCTAAGACATATAGAAAGACGTCATTGTTGGTGACTGGAAATCACTTGTGTCCTGACTGAACAGCCAAGTAGTAACACATAAAGAAATAAATTGCCTGAGCTGGGTACAGATCCTGAAGCTTCAGCTGAGATTCCCAGTGATACTTGAGGATCTGATGGGTCGAAGGTTGATGGGGCGAGACCTGGAGTCATCACCATTGCGGCTCATTGGGCCTGAAGCCATCTTAGATGGTGGCACAGGAGGTAGCGCTATTGTTCGCCAACTGGAGGGTTGCAGGTTTGAGCCCTGGTTCTTCCTGATCCCATCAAAGTGTTCTTGAGCAAGACACTGAACCCTAAATTGCTCCCGGTTGAAGAAATGATCTCTGAGATGCCTGGTTAGGCTTTCATTCAGCTGTTTTGCCATTTATTTGGTCAGGTTGGTAGCCTGAGATTGTAATTCATGATGCAACATTTTCATGAAAGGAATTACTTAAGAGGCAGACACTCTTTTCTCCTCTAATAGTTCTACTGTGGCTTCATGGAATGGTGCGAGCACAAATATGGTAAGTGACCTCTTACTCCTCTGCACGAAGAAGTGTAAGATCTGTTTTTAATGAGGCCAAAGATACACTGGTTCTCACTGCTCACTCATCTTGGCAAGTGTATGAAAAGTGCTGTTTCAGCCACTTAAATGATTAACTGTGTACCTGATCTTCCCATTTGTTTAAGAATATGGGCCATTCTTCTGCTTAGCAATGGTGCATCATGTAAAGAACATAAGAACATGAGAAATTTACAAACAAGAGCGGGTCATTTGGCCCATCAAGCTTGTTTGGGGAGAACTTAACTAATAGCTCAGAGTTGTTAAAATCTTATCTAGCTCTGATTTAAAGGAACCCAAGGTCTTAGCTTGCGCTACACTAGCAGGAAGACTATTCCATACTGTGTAAAGAAGTGTTTTCTCAAATCCAATTTAAAATGTTCTCCCGCTAATTTCCACCTATGGCCACAAGTTCTAGCATTTAAACTAATATTTAAGTAGCCATTTCGCTGAACAGCATCGAGACCTGTTAGAATCTTATAGACCTGGATCATGTCCCCCCTTAATCTCCTTTGCTCGAGGCTGAACAGATTCAGCTCAGCTAACCTCTCCTCATAAGACATTCCTCTAAGACCAGGAATCATTCTTGTAGCCCTATATTGAACGTTTTCCAAGGCAGCAATGTCCTTTTTAAAGTATTGTGACCAAACCTGCACACAATATTCTAGGTGGGGTCTTACCAAGGAATTGTATAATCGTAGCATCACCCCCCTTGACTTAAATCCACACACCTAGAGATGTAACGAAAAATCCTATGGGCCTTTTTTATTGCTTCCCCACACTGGCTAGAGTGGGACATGGAAGCATCAACATACACACCGAGATCTTTCTCATAAAGTAAGTTTTTTGCCATGTTTAAATTTGCCATGTTTTAGTTCATATGTCATTAAGTGCTGAATTCTGGTCAAAGGATTTTTAACTATTAAATTTAGTGAATGGTTGATGCAAATTGCATGTCTAACATGGAGCAGTCCAGCACATGCTATAAACTCAGCCTGACTTTGCACTTCATTGCCGAGATTTTTGGCTGAACATTGTGTTTAGGGCCAGAGGACCCTCGATTTTGGGACTGGAGTGAGCAGCTCTCCTCGCTGCTTGCTGCGAAGGCATGTACCCAGTTCTGCAGATTAGGATGGTGTGTTGCAGTGATGGTCTTGGCCTTGAGGAGTACATCCAAACACGACCCCAAAATTTCCTGCCGCACCAAAGAATCTTGTGTTTTCAGAGTCTGAGAGCCCTTTAGGTGCCTTCTTGCAAATTCCACGGGGGCTTTCACGTGTCTTTTACTGAGAATGGTCTTGCATCTGGACTCTCTGCCATAAAGCCCAGATTGTGGCAATTCTGCAGTGATGGTTGTCCATCTGGAAGTTTCTCCCACCACCACAGAGGATTTCCGGAGCCCAGCCAGAGTGACCATTGGGTCCGTGGCCACCTCTCTTACGAAGGCCTTTCTCCCTTAACTGCTGGGTTTGGCTCTAGGAAGGGTCTGGGTTGTACCTGGATCATGTCCAGGTACATTTACTACTATAGGTGAAGTAGGAGACAATGGGAAGGACCAGAAACCAACCAGCTAAGGCGGAAGTGACCTTCTAATGCCAGAGATGACCGTTAACTTTTGACAGTTTCTCATGAATCGGAGGATGACATCAAAAAGAATGGGAAACATTAAGTGGGTGTGACATGCACTGCTAGGATAATTCATAACAGGTTCCTAGAAGCAGGACTGAAGTCCCAAGAAAGCCCTTCATTAATGAGAAACGGAGAAGAGCCAGGCTGCAGTTTGCAAAAAGAAGGAATAAATTTTTCACAGACACACACCCATAAATAGAGAAATGAGTCAAACAAAATTTTTTTGCTCTTGTTACTATGATTTATTATAATCCACTGCGGTCTGGGACTGTCTGACGGCACCTGTATGCAGATCTTTATTGGTTCTTCTCAAACATTTCACTTGTTTTGGTTGGCTACACAAATGGTGGAAAGGATAAAGTTACAGCTGCTTTAGCTTCACAAAGACCAGAACAGCAACAAAAATGTCCAAATAGGTTTATTGGATTTAATTCTGAAAACTGCACTCTTCAAAAAAGTATTAAAAACTATCATTATTCGACTTCATTTATTATGGGACGGCCCAAAAACAAGGTGCAGCTACATGAAAATGGGAATACAAATTCTTTTCTGACAAGCTGGGACAAGCTGATATCTGAAATGCCTCGAACTGGGAAGGGGGTCTGGAATGAGATGAATTGTTAGTAGAACAGATTTTTGCTTAAAACATTGTAAAATCATTCCTTATTCTCTGCCTAAATAATTTATTATTATTAAAATAATAATGAAATTAAAAACAAAATTATTTATTTAATGATACAGATAAGTGGATGTTCAATTCTAAAATGAACTTTTTGTGTTGTTTTTATTTGTAAATGTAAAAATATGAACTAAACGCATTGCTAAACACTAAATGCATTAATAAGCAAACGTTTGTACTTTGTAACGGAATCAGTTCATAATTTATTTGTTAAAGTACAATAGCTTTGCAATAAAGAATTAACAATGTATTCAAAATATGTACACATGAGAATGTGCTTTTTGACAATAGGAATAAGATTTAAAAAAACATAAGAAATTGTTTTTCCTGAGCTGTCATTGGCTGATCCAATGAAGGGGCGGAGCTATGAGTAGAAACACTCTTGTATAAACCACTGCTTTAACATTTCATACGGTTTTTGAGGACTGAGATTTGGAAACTATGGCTGTAGTACAGGAACTTTTCCAGATTCCCAGTGTGGTCACCCTGCTTGTTTCTGTACTGGTGCTTTTGATCCTGTATCTGCTGATCGACACACAAATCCGAGGAAAGGAGCCCCCAGGACCCAGACCTCTGCCTCTTCTGGGAAACCTACTGCAACTGGATCTCAAGAGGCTCCATCTGTGCCTCTTCCAGGTCAAATACATCATTTATCTATATTTGTACTATAGTTTATCACTTTCAAGTTTTTGTTAAATAGCGAAATATTTAATTCATCAGAATTTGTTTTGAAAAGGCAAACACCTTATCCTTTGTGGTGGGAGATGACAGACTGCCACAGTACATTTGTCATTCCCCAAAACAAAGAATATCAATGCAGAGCTCAGGGGTTCAAGGCACAAATAAATTGCACCACTTTCCTCTACTATAAGCCACTTGGAATGAAGGTGTCAGTTAAATATAAATGAGTTATATGAACATTATGAGCACGACAATAAAATAATAATGGCTGTAGGTATGGTAATGCTTCTTGGTAGTTCTTATGTAACCAAAAACTTTGTTCATAGTGAAAAAGAAAGAAATAGAATATAAATATTTTAAAATATAAATAATATAAATGACGTTTTCAAACATAGACATTAAAACATTCATGGAGGAATTCATTATGGAGAAAGATTCTACAGATTGTTGTGTAAGTGGAATGTTCAATACATGAATAAGTAAACTCTCAGGGTCTCACGGCATTCAGGTAAAAACACATTAACTTTCACACCTCCAGGTAATGTGCTCTTTGACCTGAGGAATCCCAGAATGCACCTCTCTATATAATGCCATTCTTTTTTTGTTTGACTTTCTCCAGCTATCTCAGAAGTATGGGCCTGTCTCCACCATTCACTTTGGCCCAAAGAAAACTGTGGTTCTTGCAGGCTATAAGGCAGTGAAAGAAGCTCTCATCAATTTTGCAGAAGAATTTGGGGACCGGGACATAACGCCTATATTCAAAGATTTTTCAAAAGGGCACGGTATGCAAATCATTGTCTTACAGTTCAAGAATTCGTAACTGGCTTCCTGGGGTCATTTAAGGGGTCAAATTGCAGCCCCTCTTTCCAGACTGGGATTAGGAATTTCACTGCATATTGTAATGACTATAATTGCATATGCAACAAATATAACTTTTAACTTAATAATAGCAGTTCTTGGAGGATGAAATTCAGGTGTCTCTCTCGTCTTTAACTCTTTTATTTCAGACTTTTCCTTCATTTCTGTTGCTAATTCAGAGTTGTGGTGAGCTATGGCTGGAATCCCAATCAGTGCCCATTGATCACACTGGCATTTACAGTAATGCTTTGGATTCCATGCATATAGGAGGTCTCCGTGACCTGACACTGAAATACATTCTACCCACACAGGCATCGTGTTTGCCAATGGAAACTCATGGAAGGAGATGAGGCGCTTTGCTCTGTCCACCCTTCGTGACTTTGGGATGGGAAAACGAGGGATTGAGGACAAAATTATTGAAGAGATCCACTACATGACAGAGGTGTTTGCAGACTTTACAGGTTAGATGTTACAACATTTACAAAAAATGCTAAATATATATAATTAATTCACTACTTGAGTATTCAATATTAATGTATATATTTATATATTATGATTGAATGCTGAATATCACTTCAATCCTGTGCTAGATAAGTGGTACAGAAGATGCAGAACATTTTAACCAGTAAACACTGAGTCTTAGTCATGACAAGTAGATTATCTGTGTATAATTGACATGAACAGTTCAAGTACAAGCTGTGTATCAATGACGGTTCTCCCCAGAGCAACTATAGAGTGATGCAAATGTTTACAAGTTACTACATAAATGTTGGATATACTATCAATTTCTGCAGCTTTCAAGCACTGCTTCAATAACCCTTCAACCCTTGTTGATTTTACATTGATTGTAATGTTTTCCAGGTGCTGCATAAATGTTCTTCCCTTTGATGCTTTCCTTATCCATGCTTTCAGGCAAACCATTTGACACCAGTGAAGCACTGAATCACTCAGTCTCCAACATCATTTCTTCCATCGTCTA